AGGTTTTGCGTGCTCTTAGTACTTCTGAAAAGTGGAATTTCTGCTTTCTCTTACCCCTTGGTTTTGTATAGAGAAATGAGAATAGGAAACCAAAAGTTAGTATTTTACATTTTTATGGTTTGACATATGTTGCATTTCTACTTCTACTCTGTTTTATATGATTCTTGGTATATTCCTTATCATAATTTTCTGTGCTAAATGTGGTTGGTGCTGAGTGAGGAATCTCAAAAGTCGACTCCTAATGGTGTGGTGGTTAGGTTCCATTTGTATGCTTTGGGAAATTTGGCATATCTTAACTGAAATGTTGGCATGGGTTTGAAAGTTACTAAATGAGCTTAAAACTCCCTTTATTGTTATTTTTTTTACCATGCTCCAATGCTACTGCCCTTAATTTAATTTGTAATTCTTCAGGTGTTTTGGTTTATATATTTTCTATTTTTTTAGTCAATATATTATTTAAATTTATCACATTAGTTTCTGTTTGGGGAAGCTTAATTGTGTTGCAGATTTGTTGTATTTTTTTGGTTATTGAGATCTTTTGTAAAGTTTAGGGCTTTTATGTAAATGTCTTAAATAGTTGTATCCTATAAATACTCTAGGATCCAAATGATTTTATGCGTGGAGAATCAATTAAAACTTCTGTGTAAATTTGTGAAATTTTAGCTTTTTCTCATCGTATCAGAGCACATGTGACCTGCGTCAGAAAAAGTTCTTGGGCTTTTCTTGTTTTTGGGCCCTGCACAAATGTTTCTCCACAAAATAGATTTCACATGCCTTTCTTGAGATCCTCATCATTGCCATGGATCCTTCGTTTTTCCTTGGTTCTTCAGCGTCTTCATCTTCTGTAACTCAAAAATCAGATCAAGAATTGTCTCATTCTCCGATCTTTCTCCTTTCGCACATCTGTACCTTAGTGTCCGTGCGTCTTGATTCATCCAATTATGTTCTTTGGCGTTTCCAAATCACGCCGATTCTGAAAGCTCACTCTCTTTTTGGCTTCATAGATGGATCATTTCCTTGTCCAGAACGGTCTCTCAAAGAAGACGATAAAATCGTTCCAAATCCGAAATTTATTCTTTGGAACGCTCAAGATCATGCGTTAATGACGCTTATCAATGCTACCTTATCACAAAAGGCATTATCCCTTGTCGTTGGATGTACGACTTCTCAACAAGTTTGGAAGTCACTAGAGCGGCGCTATTCTTCTTCAACCAGAGCTTGTATAATCGACCTCAAATCTGATTTACGGTGAATTTCAAAGAAGAGCGCAGAATCAATTGATGATTATATCCAGAGAATTAAAGGTATTCAAGACAAACTTGCTGCAGTTTGTGTTCATTTGGAAGATGAGGATGTCATGATCTACACATTGAATGGTCTCTCTTCTACTACAATGCCTTTCGAACTAGTTTACGGACGCGATCTTCCTCCATCTCTCTCGAAGAATTACATGTTCTGTTGAAAGCTTAAGAATCAGCCATTATTGCTCAAAACAACTCACAGGATCCTTTCTCTCAACAAATTGCTCTTATTGCTCAATCTCGTGCATTTTCTTCCAATAACAGAGGGAGAGGTGGTCGACTTTTTAGTCGCCACCATAGTGGCAAAAATTCATCTCCTGGATGTGGACATTTGTCTTCTGGTCGTGGTCATTCGGGAAGTTCTGGTTCTTCTTTTGGAAATTCATCCGATACTCTCCACTATTCAAATAAGACTTCTGGCTTTCAATCTACTGGTTTTGGTGATTTTTCTTCTAACAAGGTAGTGTGTCAAATATGTAAAAAATTTGGACACAATGCTTTGGACTGTTACAACCAGATGAATTATTCGTTTCAAGGTCACCATCCACCTCCTCAGTTAACTGCAATGGTAGCCTCTTCTAACTCTGTTTGGCTTACAGATAGTGGATGTAGCACACACTTAACACCAGATTTAGCCAATTTAACTATCTCTAATGACTACAATGGGGGAAGAAGGTATCACAGTAGGCAATGGTCAAAATCTCACGGTTTCTCACTCTGGTTCAGGCATGTTAACAACTCCCCATCAATCTTTTTCCTGAAATAATCTTCTCTGTGTCCATGATATTTCCACCAATCTTCTTTCTGTTCATCAATTCTGTGTTGATAATCATTGTTATTTTGTGTTCCATGCTGACTCGTTTTCTATCATTGACAGAAAATCCAACATAGTTCTTTTCAAGGGACCGTGTCTAAATGGTCTCTATCCTATTACTGCTACGTTGGATGCAAGAAAAGGATTTGTTGCACATCTAGTCGCTAAGGTGTCTCACCTTCTGTGGCATAATCGTCTTGGGCATCCTAGTAATAATGTTTTACATGCTCTTTGTAAACAGTCATGCATTTCTTTCAATTTTGCCTCTGATTCTTGCATTTGTTCTCATTGTTTACATGGTAAAATGTCTAAATTGCTTTTTTCTTTGTCTCGTTCTATTTGTGCTAAACCACTATCTTTGGGGACCGGCTCCTGATGTTTCTGTTCATGGTTATCGATATTATAATTCATTCATTGATGATATGTCTCGCTACACTTGGATCTTTCCTCTAGTAAATAAATCTGTTGCTTGCTCTGTGATTCGTAAGTTTAAACCATATGTTGAAACTCTTCTTGATCATCGTTTAAAAATTTTTCGTAGCGACGGGGGTGGTGAATTTGTTACTCGGTCTTTATCTTATTCTTTGGTGAGGAGGGTGTTTTTGACGAAGTGCTTGTAGCTTGCGGGTTGTTGAACCGTCTGACAACTGACCATACAGTTGAAACTAGGATGGGGATCTCTCAAACCATGATGGAGCAGGTTTGGGTACACTGCGTGTGGTAATTAAACTGCCATGGATTCCTGTACCATGACCACTATGGCGCCTCTTCTTGCAATGGATTGCAGAGTGAATTAGAGCCGTTGATTTGGTCTACTAGAATAGATGACATTTGGGTTTCGAAGGCATTTTCAATTGATTCCACTGTGGTGGTAACCATATGGGCCGTCGGGATGTTGCGATAGTTGGAGGTCGTCGCGATAAGGGGACAATCAGCGGTCGGGAACAAGGCGGCTGCTTGAGAAAAGAGAAAACAGTCGATCTAACTAATTATGTACCAATGACTTATCTTGAATAGAAGTATCGAAGAAGACCTTTTATGTACAAAAATTACCAAATATGCTGGAAACTTTATGCACTAATTGATTTGCCACACTCGAAAAGCTACATTTTTAACATATATAATTTTTTTTATAGTTTTCTTTAAGTACAAGGATGAAAATTCGATCACGACCTATTCTAAGTACCTTAGTCAATTAAACTATATTTCAGGTTGCAAAATTTTCTAATAGAGTAATGTTAGTTCAACTCGTTGGCATTGAACTTAACACATCTAGAATTATAACTTAACACATGTCTGCAAGCAATATCCCTATTATTTTTTAGTTTCCAAGTAAATAATTATAAAAATTTTGAATTTCAAGAAAGGCGCGTCTTCTTGGAGCAAATGTACAGTCCGGGTCGGCATCTTTCATTTCCCATTGTTCAAGCTACTTGCCATGGCGATAATCTTCCCCGATTCTCAAAATACATCTACAATATCCGCTCAGGACCCTTTGTTGCCTTGGCTCTGGTACTCCTCGCTTTCTTTTCTGTGACCGAGCTTATTGACAATCTTGTTCCAACATTCAGTTTCAGTAAAATTTTTTATGGCACTTTTGTTCCGATTGTAGGTCCATCAAGGATGCTCTTGAAAATTCGACATCAGGCAATGCTTCTGGGCCAGATCTCGCCAAGCTTCTCTCTGATTGCATTAAAAATTTCGGCGGCAATGTCAAGTACAAAAACGACATCAGATTTCTCAAGATTTGGTTTCTCTCTGTACGTAACTGTCTTGCCTTAACTGTTAACTTTGTGCATTTAAGAAATTTGTCATCTCTGTGTTATTGTAAAATGCGGTTGATTAAATAACTTGTATGTGTTATGCTTTTGATGGAATTATCTTTTGATGGTTTGTTTTGCCTGTGTTATGCCCACCCTTTACTTTCTATAGCCTTGCTCACTTAAGATTATTGATGCGTCTGTTTCGGTTCTTAATGAAATTGGTTCCTCCTCTAACTTATAAATTTGGATAATTTTGTTTTATGTGAGTGCCTGGATCTCTTTTAAAACTTCGCCATTGACAAATTTTTGATAATTGCTGTTTGTTGATTTTGAATGATAATTAAGGTTATGTTGTTCGTGTAAGTAGATTGGTTTAAGGGAGGATTTTGAAACCGGCTTCAAAGAATTGTTGGAGCAGGAGATATGCATTGGCAATTCTTTGCTTTATATTTGGTATGCAGCGTTCCTTGAATCCAAGGGGAAGTTACATGACGCTAACATGGTTTATGAGCTTGGCTTGCTGAGGTATCTCTCTCCCTCTCTCCCTCTCATGGTAATGTTTTTGATTCGGTTGAGTGTTCTGTGCTTTTTTGTTCCTTACATTTTTAAGTGATAATAGGAACGCTGAACCCTTTGAGTGGCTGAAGAAGGCAAAAACATTGTTTATTGACAGGATGTCCGAGTTAGTCAGTATTCACTCAACGCAAGTGGTGCGTGATCTTAACCACAGAGCAATTGAAGTTGATGTTCTAGTTCTAGTATATAGTGCAAGAATTTTGACACGTGTGGATTTTGTTTTTGCAGAATGATGGTGGCGAGTCCAATAAATTTGCAGAAACCTACGTTAATCCTTGGTCTCCTTCCATAATGAAAGATCTATTAAGCAAGATAAATCCAAAGATTTTGAAGTATGAGGTAAGACAGTGCAGTTTTCTTTCGATAAATGATGAGAGCAATCTGGCTATTATTTGTTTGAATAAATTACTCACTAACTACCTTGATTATGAATTTAATGCATGCTTCAGGGTTACCATTCAAGCAGTAAAGCTTACTCTAGAAAGATGGCTCTGAATTCGTTGCGGAATTCATCAAGGAATAAGACTATTGAGATTGGTAAATTTTATATTATTGATTATAGTCAGAATCTTCACCTAAATGTATAGAAGTAGAACTATCTTCACTCAATCCTTCAAAACAACGAGGTTTCTTGAAACGTTGAGAGTAAGAAATGTAGGAAAAAGTTTTCCCATTTCGCAAATTTTTTCTTTCATTATAATACCTTTGCCAATACTTGCAGGTGGCAAGAGGTACGAGATCAAAGGTTGTGCAGGTACAGGTGGTTTTGCTCAAGTATATAAAGCATATGTTGACGGTAACCCAGAAGATGTAGTAGCCCTAAAGGTAAGAAAAATACTCACTGATTGACATGCAACTGCATACGCTCTTCCAGCATTCCTCATAAGTCATACCTGAATGTGAACTAGTTGGATATTGTGATTCCCTTCAAATGCTTGTCAGATTCAAACACCTCCTTTTCCTTGGGAGTTCTATATGTATCGTCAACTTGATCAACATGTCACCATGAAGGAAGTATGTAGAGCCACCCTCTTTTTCAGTAAGCATTTTCACTTCTCAGTGTTAGCAGCTCAACTTAAACTCATTTTCTATCTCTCATAATGTCAGAGGTCAAGTTTTGGTTGTGCTCATGCGATGTATCACTATTCCGACTACAGCATACTTATTTGTGACTACTTGGCTCATGGCACATTACAGGTGAGTTTTCAGACTCTCAACCGTTATATACACTATGGTCCTTGAAAATACTCACTGTCCAGTTAAAACCTTGCGCAGGATGCCATAAATTTATATGTAGTCCTTGGGAAGACTATGGAAGAAGTTTTATGTATTTATTACACCATAGAGATGCTCTACATGCTTGAAACTTTGCATGGCTTTGGCATTATCCATGGTGATTTCAAACCTGACAATCTACTTATTCGTTATGCAAGGTAAAGATACTTTTGTTTTAAATCTTGATTGATGACATCCATATTTCTGAGAGTTGATTCATCAAATAGCTCACTCTAGTTGCCATTCAACACTTTGTTTGGCCAATCAATAATGATTAGCACCCGACTGGAAAATGTTCTACTTCAATTCATTAGTTCTGTACTAGTTGAATTTAGTTTACCGTTATGCAGAGACAACCTAACAGAAGATGGATTTCGGGAACGTAGTGGTCCTTGGCAAGATCAGGTATTTAGCTTCACTCCCTTGTGTTTGTTCCAGGGTATTACATTGGCTGAGAGCGGGCAAGATTACTTGTAGCTTTCTCTTGTAGGGGCTTTGCCTAGTTGATTGGGGAAGAGGTATAGATCTACACCTCTTTCCTGAAAATGTAGAATTTAAAGGAGACTGCCGAACTTCTGGCTTTCGCTGTACAGAAATGCTAGAGAATAAACCCTGGAAATATCAGGTTTGTCTCTTCTGAGTTTGGTTTTCTATAACAACTCAAGTGCAAACCCACTGTAAAAAAGAAGACAAAAGTGCTATCAGTAACTTTCTACCTTTGTACAGGTAGACATATATGGCCTCTGTGTAGTCGTCCACACTATGCTTCATGGTTCCTACATGGACGTTGATAAGAAAGCATCATCTAATGGTGGCTTTATTTATCTACCCAAAACATCTTTTAAGCGGTATGAGTTACCATTTTGATATCTTTAGTTGTCTGTGTTCTGGTTTTTCTGTGTCCTGCAAAATTGAAAAAATTATGTTGTGCTTAAATTCTGAATTATATTCAATAGGTATTGGAACATTGAACTGTGGAAGAATCTCTTCACAAAGTTGCTTAATATCACGCCAGGTGATTACAACCAGAAGTTGTTGCAGAGTATAAGGGTATCTTTCCAGGATTACATGTGCTCCAACCCTCACCTTATAAGGAAGTTAAAGGAATTACTTGTAAAACAAAGAGCTTCCTTGTGTACTGCTTAATCAAGAACACC